ATATATTCTAGATTCATTACACATGAAAGTGAAATATTTCCGGCCTTTTTTTTTGATGATTACAGTTTACAGCTCATGTAAATCAAAATTACATAACTCAAAATATTCAAGAATCCATAATACAGAAATGTTGTTCTGAGAAAGTTTAACTTATGCACTAAGTACTTGGTTGGGGCACCTTTTGTATTAATTACTGCACCAGTGTGGCCCAGGTTGCTTTGATAGCGGCCTTCAGCTTATCTGTGATGTTAGTTCTGGTGTTTCTCATTTTCCTCTTTACAATACCTCGTAGGTTCTCTTTAAGGTTCAGGACAGCAAGTTGGCTGGCCTACCAAGTAGTTTACAGAAACCCAACAATTCCCACCAAGAGCAAGCACTAGGCGACAGAGGCAAGGAAAAACTTCCTTTTAAGAGGCAGAAATCTTAACAAGTAGTAATATCATGGTCAGTAAAGCAGTTACAAAGCTTAACCATGACATGTTTTTACAGGAAAAATTACCTAAAATAGTCACTGATTAATATTCTGTCACTCAACTAATTGATTAATCGACTAACAGTTTCAACAGCACTTGGATAAACTGTTGGGAATTAAATTTGTGTAAAAATCTTAATTTGTAAAGCAACTAGTAACTAAAGCTGTCAGATAAATGTAGTGACGTAAAAGTACAATATTTCCCTCTGAGATGTGGAGTAGAAGTAGAAAGTAAAGTACAAGTACCTGAGTGTTGTACTTGAGTACAGCAGTGTAGTAAATGCAGCTGTTGTGTTAATGTGAATGTTTTGTGAGGAGCTCTCCAGTTTGTCCTGAGGGACGAACAGACTGACAGTGACAGGAAGCAGCCAGCAGGAGGCAGCAGAGGAGCTTCAGTTTGTTCAACAGATGATAGTTTTCACTTTAAAGTCACTGGAGGAGCAAACTGTGTGCAGTCTTACTTTTAATAGAAACCAACCAGTCCTCCTATAATGGAAGATCACCAGTCCAATAAGTTTGTTATTTTATCAAATGCCATTTTATTATGGAATAAACAGCATGTGAGCAAAATATCAACTGATATATTAAAGCTGATGAAGCTGAAGCGGAAGAGGTCAACACCAGCATCCTTAAGGCCTTCATCATTTCTGTAGCATCAGTTGCATCCCACACTTCAGAGACCCACTGCAACTTTACCCTCTTCTGGAGTTTCTAATAAGGGGGTTGGAAAAGCTTCTTTAAGACCTCAAACCTCACCAGCTAACTCCCCCTCTTCATTAACAGTACAAGTGCCAGTTTTGGAGACTGACCAGCCAAGACAAAACGTTTCACTGAATCACATCAAATCAAAAGTGCATTAATTGGTACACCATGTTTAATTAATGTCCCAAAGAATGTGACGTTTTGTGCCAACATTCGATACAGGAACTGAACTAACCAGAACTAGTTACTCATATCCACTAACACTGAAGCTTGTATGGGGGTATTTATGTTTCAATATTATTTGTGTGAACAGATGAGCAATCTGTGTGTAAATGTGTAATCTGTAAATATAAAACACTTTGCACAAACACAAAATGTATTTGTAAACTCACAAAAATATTCAGCAAATAGAAAACAGATCTGAAATACACAAACAAATTCCACAAATAATAAAACTAAAAATAAATAAAACTATGTTGAATAGTTTACAAATAAATTAACTACATTTGTGAATATCTTACTAACATTTACAACTTTTAAATAGGCATTTGTGAGTCCAGTTTTGATTTACAAATTTTTGAAAAGTATTTGTGAATATCTTACAAACATTTGTCACTTTTAAACAGGCATTTGTGAGTCCCGCCTGTATTTGTCGATCTCAGTTCTTCACACACGGAGTTTTGAAACAAACTTTCCGCCCATGGAAAGAAAATCGTCTCGTGTTATTTGGTTGTTTTAAGAGACCACGTGATGACGCCCGCTGATGACGTCATTTCCACCTTTCAAAGTAAAACGCCCTCCAAACTGCTTGAATGTGCCAGGCTTGTTGATATCGCGAAGGAAATATCAGCTGCTGTTTCAACAAAATATGTATGCAGACTGAAAATCAACCGTGTTGTTGTGTCGGGAGAGGCAGCGGTGAGCAACAAATAGTATAATTATATAACAATGTATTAAGCTATGAGCACAGGGAAAGTCCACTAGCCGCTAGGCTAATTTCAGCAGTTTGAAAATGCCACAGGCTGTAGCTAATGATGGTGATGAATTCACCCAATCCACGGCAAAGTCTGTGAGGTGCATGATAATATAGTGTTGTGGGCTAAACTCACCTATTTCCTCACTGCTAAATCCGATTGTGACGTCTAATATAATTTTCCACCGCATGATTAATACACGGCAGATGTGTGTGTGTGACGTTGCAGCCTTGCAAAGTGAAGTGATGTGGTTCTTTGAAAAAAAACCACAATTTTTCCATAGATGAAAACCGTCAAATGAAAATGTGTAATGTTTTCATATCAGCTCTCCATCTTCAGGTGCTCTGCCACTGCTGGTTTGGGTCACTCGGCCACGAATGGTATGACATTTTTTATTGTGAAAAACCTTTTCACCCGGCCCTATTACAAATCTTCATTTATTAATTTTTTATTATACCTTTATTTTAACAAGCAAGTTTATTAAGAATAGTTTCTTATTTACAGCCTGGCAGGAGACCTCCTGTGGGAAAGGGTACTGGGATTAAATAAAAACATGAAACAATAGACAGAGGATGCGGGACAACAACACAGTCCCAACAACCAACGTTAAAACCAGCCACTAGGACACAAAGAGACCAGATGAGAAAATAATTAAAAGACAGATAAGGAAACATGATAACAGACTAGACATAAGATAATCTACAGAGGTAGATGATACAACAAATGGCACAATAGTTGAATCATGAAAACAATCTAGGAAGTAGCAGAGCAACATATAACAACACAGAAAAGCTGTAATTAGTTGTCGCAGTGCACATTACATGACTGTGCTCTGTAAGTGAAAAACAGGATACAGTTAGAGAATTCCTTATAGTTACATTATAACCACAGTAGACTTGAGACTTGAGACTTGTGAGCATCTTTGCATCTGGTGCTGACAGTTCATGCAGAGACGTAAAATTTGTTTTTTAAAAGATGCACAATGAAGACCGAAATTGATTAATTCAATTCAATTCAATTTTATTTATATAGCGCCAAATCACAACAACAGTTATCTCACAGCGCTTTTCATAAAAGAGCAGGTCTAGAATTTATTTACAGAAACCCAACAGTTTCCACCAAGAGCAAGCACTAGGCGACAGAGGCAAGGAAAAACTTCCTTTTAAGAGGCAGAAACCTCGAGCAGAACCATGGCTCAGGGTGGGCGGCCATCTGTCTCGACCGGTTGGGGTGAAGGAGAGAGAGAGAGAGAGAGAGAGAGAGAGAGAGAGAGCAAGAGAGGAACAGAGAGAGAGAGATTATGAAAGCTCTTGTTCGTTGTTCGTCATATGAACTAGTTTGTTTGAAGCACTTTTTTCAAATTTTTTTGGGCAGCTGTGGCTCAGGAGATAGAGTGGGTTGCCCGTTACCAGAAGAGAACTGAAGGAGACAGATTCAATAAGAGAGTGACATTTAAGATTGAGAATAAAGTATAATCAAAACGTTGAAATAAGAAACATATCTAAAAGACGGTTAATGACAACTATAAAAGAAACGGAGGGATAGTTTGCCCACCTGAGTGCAACGCAGCACCACAGAATGATCAACTGGCCGGTACTGAAGTGTGCAGAACCAACAACTGAGAGTATCTGTTTCCACATTGAGTTGGTCATTTGTCACGTTAAACATATGACTTAAATAATAATACTTGCTTATCCTCCTGTTTTTCATAGCCTTTTCCCGGATTCCACCCAGCTCAGTAGTATATTTAATGTTACAGTAGTTGGTGGTGGAGGCTTCGCTGTTGACAAACTTGATTTTAGATTTATTTCTCAAACAGTGCGGCAGTTCTGGTAACGGTCCTATAATTTCTCACTTTTTAATCACTTCTAAATGTTCTCTGATGGGACTGAATGATTGATTGGTGTCATATCGAAATTGTGATTTGAAAGAACATGATTATCTAATTGTGAAGAAGGCAATTAAAAACGTAGGTTAAATATACAATGCATCTGACCCGTTTTATACAGTCATGCAGTTTCCAATGAATTCCATTGTCATCCTTGTGTGACAGATTTGCCTCTATGAAGTTATTTTTGTGTCTTTTTAAGACAAGTCTTGAGAGCATATTTCTCGCACTTTAATCAAAAATCAAATTTGTAATTAAAAACAAACAGGCCTCTACTTGTCTCACAAAAAGATTTGCTTGCTATTCTGTCCTCTTTGATTGCAAGTCAAAAGGTTGTGCAGGTTATTAGGTTTTGCGAGGGAAATAGTTTTGCAAGTAACAGTTTTTATGGGTGGGTTGGACTGACCAGTAGAAGGTCGAAAGAAGGAAAATCAACCAGAGCCATTGGACAAACATTGAGAATAGCAAGCACAACAATTTGGAACGTCATGAAAAAGAAATAAATTACTATTGTACTGAGCAACAGACGTCCAACAGGTCGGCCAAGGAAAACAACAGTAGTTGATGACAGAAATATGGTGAGAGCTGTGAAGAAAACCCCCAAAACATAAGGAAGTGACATCACCAATGACCTCCACAGTGCAGGGTGAAGGTATCACAATCCACTGTTGGAAGAAGACTCAGAGAGCAGAAATATAGAGGCCACAAGATGCAAACCACTCATTAGCAGGAAGAATCGGAAGGCCAGACTGAAATTTGCAAAGAAGTACAGAGATGAGCCGCAAAAGTTCTGCAACACAATCTTATGGACTGATGAGACCAAGATTAATCTCTATCAAAGTGATGGAAAGGCCAAAGTCTGGAGAAAGAAAGGAACTGCTGATGATCCGAAGCATACAAGCTCATCTGTGAAGCACGGTGGAGGTAATGTCATGGCTTGGACGTGCATGGCTGCTTCTGGGGCCAACAGCTCATCTGATCCGTGAGTACAATGTGTACTTTCTACATTTTAAACAATTTCATTTAAAGCATGTTGGCTTTGTTGGTGAAGAGTGGAAGAAACAAGATGTCAGTGATCATCACAGGAAAAACATGCAACATAGAGGAATTAATACAGCGATAAATGCAACACATATGCTGACCAAAGAGGAATTCTTTGGTCAGAAAATGTTTGTTGCTCCAACAAAAAAAGTAGAGAAAGAAAATTCAGGCATTTCATTTTATTTCATTTTAGTGCCAAGTTTCCATCTTCAAAACCGTTTCTGAATGTTTAATTATTTTAGGTCTTGTGATTTAAACTGAATGTTCATTGTGAATCTCAAACCAACCAGAGTCTCATTTCACTTCAGTGCTGATGTTGCTGCTGTGCTGCACAACAAACCAAGGTGAGTTTGTATACGACAAGTTAAAAGTGTGTAAAATAAAAGTGCTCCTTCACATTTAATACCACAAAACACACACCAAGAGCTTTCATGTGTATGTTAAATATGAAGCTACAGCTAGCAGCTTAGCCTATCATGAAGACTGGAAACAGGGATACAGCTAGCCTGGTTCTGTCCAAACGTAATTAAACCTACCAGCTATATAATGTCATATCTGGTTTGTTTAATTGGTTCAATTGGTTTGCTTAAGCTGGACTCTTGAATTGTGTTTCACAATACATTTCCTCCAGCCTCTCTGACTGTGAGACCGAGCAGCTCTCAGTTTTTCGACTGGACGTCTGTCACTCTGAGCTGTGAGGAGGACGACAGCTCTGCTGGATGGACGCTGAGGAGGAACACAACCAGAGGAACCAGGACTCAGTGTGGAGCTGACTGGGGAAGATCAGCTGGTTCTTCCTGTAACATCAGCTACATCGTCCCGTTTGACAGCGGAGTTTACTGGTGTGAGTCCAGAGAGGGAGCAACCAGTAACACCATCAACATCACTGTCACTGGTAAGATCAGACTGTGGAGTTAGTGTTGATGAAGCTGTGTGTAAATGATGAAATGCTGTAGTTTGTCTCTGTGTTGAGGTGGACCAGTGATCCTGCAGAGTCCTGTCCTCCCTGTGATGGAGGGACATGATGTCACTCTGCACTGTAAAACAGAGACCCCTCCCTCCAACCTCCCAGCTGGTTTCCAGCATGTTTCCAAGCCTGATGAAAGCCTCTACAAGTGTGAAATCAGCCATCATGGAAATCTTCAGACCAACTCTCTCAAAGGTGAGGAGCTCAAAGATTATTCTCAAAGTGACCTTATTGTTTTCCAAGGTGGACAGAGGTTACGATTTCACTTCTGTGTGTCCATCTGTTAATGTAACTGCACTCAGCTACACTTCACTGTAACTGGCTGGTTCAATCAACCCCTCGACTCTGCGTTGTGTGTTTGGAATAATGAGTTTGAGGCGCTTTTATCTCTCGATGCAGCCGTTTATTATCTGGACAGGAACAGAATATGTACTGGTCAGTCAAACAGTTGGCTCGCTTTAAGTCGCTCACACATATCACACCACAAAAGAACGGCAAGTTATTTTCTTATCAATCTCTCCATACGTTACAGTGCACATGTGTTCATGTAGTTCATATATGCAGGCATAATACACAATATTTGTAAACAGTGCTGCATTTAGCAACTCATCTTAGGCACGTCTCTCATGAAATAACGTTACAGGTGCATTAGTAGTATTTACCTACTACGTCTGAGAGAGGGCGCTCTCGAGCCAATAAATCCCCAAAGATACATGGATAATAGATGAATGACTTATGGAATAATATACTACATAAACTCTGTTACTTCTCCTTTCAATCTCACTCTCTGCGTAGTGACTGTAACTATTACAAGATGTCCCACGAACAGCATTTGACCGTATCTTACAAAAATACAGCCAAAAAAATCTAGAAAACGACTCTTTTTGCATTGGAGACAATGGAGCTCAGTTAGAGCAAGTCCTATACTGCGCTGTGAGTGGCCAGCTGTGTATTTGGGGCGTGGCTTAGCGAAGGGTCAATTGTCACGCAGGTCGGAATTCATTCATTCGAGACGTTTTATACATGGTAGACGTTATGAGTTTAGGGCTGAAACGGTTCATCGATTGATAAAATGCCTCGACACAAATTCTTTGCATCGATGCTTCATTTAATCCATGTAACTATACAGCACAGTGTTTCACACGGACAGAGAAAACAGCGAGGGACAAAAAGAAAGTGTCCAAAGTATGGTCTTAATCCCAGCTAAAGAAACAACAACTCTGTAATGTTACTGTCCGTCCACCGTAAAACAAAACTTTTGCCGGGAGATGGCAGTGAAAAACTGAGGGTTTTGTCTTTGGGGGGACGCACAGACTTCCATGTGCTCGCCAGAGGTAGCCTGACTGCCATTAGGTACCGAGATGAGATCCTCAGACCCCTTGTGAGACCATATGCTGGTGCGGTTGGCCCTGGTTTCCTCCTAATGCAAGACAATGCTAGACCTCATGTGGCTGGAGTGTGTCAGCAGTTCCTGCAAGATTCCGGCATTGATGCTATGGACGGTCCGCCCGTTCCCCAGACCTGAATCCAATTGAGCACATCTGGGACATCATGCACCACAGACTGTCCAGGAGTTGGCGGATGCTTTAATCCAGGTCCGGGAGGAGATCCCTCAGGACACCATCCGCCACCTCATCAGGAGCCCAGGGGTTGTAGGGAGGTCATACAGGCACGTGGAGGCCACACACACTACTGAACCTCATTTTGACTTGTTTTAAGGACATTACATCAAAGTCGGATTGGCCTGTAGTGTGGTTTTCCACTCTCCAATCCAGACATCCATGGGTTGATAGATTTGATTTCCATTGATAATTTTTGTGTGATTTTGTTGTCAGCACATTCAACTATGTAAAAAAAGGAGCATTTAATGAGATTATTTCATTCATTCAGATCTAGGATGTGTTATTTTAGTGGTCTCTTTATGTTTTTTGAGCAGTGTATCTGCCATTATAAACGGCCGATGACGATTAAATGCAATTAGCTCATATTGGCCGATAAATCGGTCGGGCTCTAGTTCTTTTGAGTAATGCAGAGAAGCTTGATAAATGCGGTCTAAACACAGGTCTAAGTTGTTCCCTACGCACCTTCATAATTGATCAATAACAAGACTAAATACCCATACACATTGGTTAAAAGCTGAAATAAGCTGTTTTGGGGTTAAGTTGATCTTTAAGAAGGCCATTGGATGTTGTCAACAAAGAGGTAGGATGTGAGGCTTGATTTTAGACTAATTTATTACAGATGTGTTCCCCAAGGTCGAGATAGAACCTCCACACTTTATGAAATATTGTTGCTGTTGCTGAACAGTTAATTGAAAAGTAATCGCAACCGAAATTCAGAGCTTCTAATCTGCGTAATTTTCCCATGTCGGTTATTTAATCCTGTTAACATTATCCCTACTCTGTGTGTGTGTATAGTCACGGGACTTCGCCCCCTCCACTCCTGCTCCGCCTCAGCTCCAGGAGATGCTAGTGCTAACCACCTTCACTTTCCAGCAGTTTGGAAAACAGACAATTGACATCCGTTGTGTTAACGGACACGCTGTGACCTACACTGCAGATTATCTCCCAGACTGACAACTTACTTGCTCGCTTTCACCGTCACTTTCTGCTGCTCTCTCTCTCATTTGCTCGCCCTCACGCTGCATTAAAAAATACCTAACGTTAACTTCACTTCTCTTATAACAGCACCTGTCACATAGATTTCCTGTTTAGATAATTCTTTTGTATATATCTGTTAATTTAAAATAGTAAACCCAGCTTTAATAGTTGCTGCTCATTAAGCAGACAGACCAATAAAGATGAAGAATAATGCAGCTGTTCAGCTCTGTGCGGCTCTGTGTGCGCTCCTGAACCTCTCTGACTAGAGCGACAACAATGCCGCATTTTTTTGTCATTTTACTGATACTCAGGTACACAGCTTCTCCACCTCTCAGTTGCTGTAACTAATATGACCCACAAAATATAAAAATGCAACAAAACAGTGAAAACAACACTGTAAAAGACCCATCGACTGCAAACTGTTATAAAGCGTGACAACGATCTCATTTATAATCAGTCCAGCTCACTAACCGTTTCGTTATCATCCAATACACGTAGCTGTGCTGACACTGCTGAGCCTCCGGAGACAGATAGTAAAGATGGTTGCTGAAAGAAGCAGGTGAGCTAACACTGATGTATTACGTAGGTTAAATGCAGTAAATATACCGTTGTCATGTAACGAGCATGGATTAGTTCAACCTTCAGCTGATAAAAATATTCGCAGTGGGAGTTTACCTGAGTTTCAAGCTCTGTCTGTTCTCCCTGTCTGTCTATAGATGGTGTAGAAGTGCAGCCATCCTGTCGGTCATGAGGGGCGCAGCGTAGTTCATTACCATAGTAATAATGGTTGTTGATAAATCCAGTGACCCCCACAGATGCATGATTTTACTGCTTCCAAAGGGGCTCAGACCCTCCTTATGGGAGCTGAGCTCCCACTGGCTGAAACATGGAAATGCCGTCACAGTTGATCAGCGGCCAAAGTGACACCTTCACAATGCTTGTTGTATCCAACCAACAGTCCAAACCTCAACATTATTAACAAACGTTAAAATCAGTCAAGTAAAGTACAAGTATCTGAGTGTTGTACTTAAGTACAGCAGTGGAGTAAATGTACCTGTTATGTTAATGTAAATGTTATTTGAGGAGCTCTCCAGTTTGTCCTGAGGGACGAACAGACTGACAGTGACAGGAAGCAGCCAGCAGGAGGCAAACTGTGTGCAGAGGGTTTGTATCCTGTTACCTTTAATAGAAACAACCAGTCCTCCTATAATGGAAGATCAGCAGCCCAGTAAGGTTGTTGTTATTTCATTAAACACCACGCATAGTTTCTAATAAGGGGTTTGGAAAAGCTCCTCTGAGACCTCAGACCTCAGTTAATAATATCCTACTAACATTGGTGGTTGAAAATGAGTTTTCATAGTTTGGTAAGATGCTTTGCTCCAAATAGCCAAAAAGACATTGGTGCATGACACTGTTGGTTGGCATTAGCAACCTGCTGGTAACTAGTTATTTGTTATACTAACGCTTATGATATCCCATTAAAATGACCACCTGGTTGAATGTAAATAGGGATATGACTTTATATACAGTCCAGTGTTTCTCCATTTTCCCAGTCCAGTATGGCCTGCCAGAGTTTAATCTGTTTCGCAACAGTTTCCTAATGAAGTGAAAACATTCTCAAACTTCCCATTATAACATTAAATGTCATTGCTTTTTGCCATTGATTTGTAAAAGTATCTGTCAAACAAACTAAAATAGAAAGCGCCATGTGGCTTTGGTCCCTTATCAAATCGCAAAAGACTGCAATTTAAATAAGTATAACAATAAAATAAGTAAAATAAAATAAATAAAAAACAAGTTATTTAAGGAGGTTAGGAGTACATTTTAAATGAGCTACTCTTTCCTTTTACTTGAGTAGATTTGTACTTAAATAAAAGTTCATCAAAGTAATCGAACTTTTACTTAAGTAGAATATAGTTGTACTCTTTCCACCTCTGCATGTTACTAACTCGACTTCTTTCCTTTCCCTTAGTCTTGTGCTCTCTCCTCCTGCTGCTTTCTGCAGGTGTTTCTGAATCTGTGGTCTGTGGAGAGAAACCTTTTGGCTGAAGAAGAGGAAGCAGACAAAGTGAGTTTTTAGGATTCATTTCTGATTAGGATTCCACACACATGGAATCATTTCCATTTGCTGAATCATCATGAAGATGTTCAGAGCCTCTTCTACTGTTGTTGTTCCCTTTTACACTTCTGCAGGAATAGCAATATTATATATTCCACTTTTTCTGTCCATCAGATCAGCCGACCAATCAACAAGCAGACTGTTTCTCCTGGATGATGGAGGAGCTCTATGGATCTCTGGGTCACTGGCTGGAGGAAGGAGGAAGCAGAATGATGAAGATCAAAGAAAATTTGGCCCCACTCTGCCACATGGGGGCGCTGTAACCAAAGTCTTTCTGCCTGGTGAATCCATCAGTCTCACAGCTTTAGATCCATTTTCATGATGCTGAGTGGAGAAATGCTTTCTGTACATTGGAGGTTGTATTTACAATTTTCCTCCTCAGAGGATATTCATGCTTCTCAAAATGATCCATAACTCATCTCCTCACAACACCTGATGCATTTCTTGTTGTTTCCCCACAGAAGTCAAACACACCTGATGTGGATCACTGTCACGTGTTCATCAACACGCTCACCTTGCAGGTAACAGTCAGAAGCTGTCCAGCAGAAACGTCTCAGTGATCTGGGTCATCACATGTTGTCAGGTGGAGTTTCAGGTGAAGCTCATGTCCAGACGCCAGGGAGGAACAACAGGTGGGACAAGTGGACGCTGTTTGACTCTTGGCTTCCCCAACTCATGTCTCCTCTCCACATCTCTGAGAGGGAGGAGACACGTGAGGACAAGGGCTTTTATTCACCGCAGAGAGCATCCTCGCTCACTGCAGTCTCATTTACACTCCTCACCTGTCACAGTGTAAAAATCACTCAGTGTCAGTTTCAGACAGCCGATGCTGCTGCTCCAATACTGATCTCAGATCTGTGTCTGTGTCAGGGACAAGAAGCAGCAGTTAACTACTGAAGGACCAGAAGAGACACATCAGTGGCTTATCCTGCTAAATTCAGCTTAAACACACCTTTTAAAAAATGGATTCAACACATTTGATCTTTGGTTTCTATCACTTTGAAAATAATTCTAGGAAAACTTGTCAGAAACAAACACGTCTCTCACGGCCACTTCAGCATAAACGCACTTTCATGACCCACAAGTGTTAAATATGGAACAATGAGGACAAAAAGAAATGACTGTTTGAAATGAACTGAATCACCAGAACTCGTTTTAAGGCTGTTTGCAGTCTGGAGAACAGAACAGAGTCTCCAGCTGCTGATACAGTAACGATGGTTTGTGAATCTCTGCGGGACAAAAAGCTTCAATCTGCTAAGCGCTTAGCAACAGTAACTAAGGGGGCGTAAAGCTCCACGAGGTCCCGCAGCGCTCCTGAATCTGAAGAGCTCCGACAGTCACAGAGGAGACCTGCTGGATCTCAGAGACCAGGACCAAGAGCGGGATGGAGGAGGACAACCAGGACCCGGAGCCCCGGAGCAACAACGTCCCCGGAGGACAAACAGCAGGCTCGAGCTCTGATAGCACCGATGTTCAGGTCAGTGTTCATGAACACAGCTAGCAGCTAACAAGAAGCTAACGTGGCGTTAGCTCGGCCTGGTTCCGACACGTAGCTTCATATTGACTGTAAACAAGATGTAATGTAGCAGGATTCAACAGTGGAGCCATCAGAACCCCGTATCTCTACAGAACCCACACTTAATGTGCCGGTCGGACCCGGAGAGGAGGAGGAGGAGGAGGAGGAGGTCTCTTGTAGCATGTAGCCTGCTGCCTGGGTGTTAGCATGCTAGCTAGCGGGACAAAGCTGAAGTTAACTTTTGCTTTCCTTAATGACTGAAAGAGGCATTTCCTCTCCTACACTGAAGGAGAACATGTTCAACCGTTTCTAGTTGGTTGCACGCCCTGTATCAGGATCTTTGGAGCCATCTGTAAATATAAACGCGGAGTCTGAAATATGCAGCTCAAAATAATTCTGTACTATGCATCATTCTGGAAGTTTCTTTGACATATCCTTCAATTCCTGCTGTTTGTTTAGATCTACACTTGGTGTTGGGAATAACCAGGGAGGAATGGAAGACATTATAGGACACTATAGGGCTGTAATCTAATTGTCGTAATCCTATGACTTCTGCCTTTGCATCAACAATCCACCCAAAACTTGTGACATTTGTCTCATTGTGTTCCCTGCAATCTATTAAAAGACTCTAGGAAGGATGAGAATCACATTGCCCCTGGAGATCAACCCAGTATGCCAACATTAACTTTACTCGACTCATTCTTAACGGCATTTCTCCCATTTCCACCTGCATTGCTGACACCGGAGATGTTCTAAATGATCCACTGCAAATTCTCAAGGCCTGAGCTTGTAATACATCCAACTTCTTAAGGTTTGATTCTGCTGCTGACATGTACGCTACACATCCGTAGTCAAGAACGGATCTCATGAGTGCCCAGTATATATTTTGTAGAGCTGCTCTGCTTGCTCCCCACTCTTGTCCTGACAGACAACAAAGTATATTGATGACCTTTTTACACATGTTCTTAACTTTATCTAAATGAGTTTTCCATGTGAGCTTCTCATAAAACCAAACCCCAAGACATCTAACTGTTGTGACTTGCTCAAGTGGTTGTTCATATAACTTCATGGAAATTGGCGTGACTTTATGCCGCCATGAAAAATAAATCACCTGTGTTTTTTGCTACAGATAATTTGAATCCCCATTTATTTGCCCATTTTTCTACAGCAACTATTGCAGCTTGCATTTACTCACGTGCAACACATTGCGGCCTCTTACCCACAGAGCCCCGTCATCTGCATGCAAAGATTTCCCTACGCTTTGTTCAACCTGAGAGAAGATGTCATTTATCATTATGTTGAATAACAACGGGCTGCACACTCTACCTTGCGGAGTCCCATTCTCCACCTTATATACACTGGAGTATTCTGCGCCTACTCTTACTTGTATTTCCCTGTCAAATAAAAAGTTCATAACCCAATTTTATATTCTACCACCAATACCCAATGACTTCAACTTAATAAGTAACACTTCTTTCCAAAGCATATCATATGCTTTTTCAATGTCAAAAAATACAGCTATCAGTATTTCTTTGTTGCTCTGTGCTTTCTTGACCCCTACCGAACCCACTCTGGTTTGGGCACAGAAGAGCTTTACTCTCTTGGAAATATGTCAACCGCTCGGTGACCATTTGTTCTATAATTTTGCATAAATGTGAAGTTAATGCAATTGGTCTGGAACTAGAAGGGTTTCACTGATCTTTTCCTGTTTTTGGAATGGGCACTATTATTGCTAGTTTCCAAGCTACAGGAAGTTGGCCAACATCCCAGACTTTATTAAACAAACCCAACACCGTGTCCAGTGCACACATCTGTCAAGTGTGTGAATATTCCATAATCTACACCGTCTTTCCCTGGAGTGGTCTGACGAGCACTCATTATTGCTCTTCTTAGCTCCAAGATATTAAACGGTAGATCTAACGAATTTCTTCTAATCCCCTCCATTCTTCTAATCATGCCCCACACATCTGACAGCTGTACTTCCCTTCCAATAGTGCTACAATACTGCCTCCAAAATGTTGGTTTTTGTATTCTGATTGTCCTCCTTACTCTTGCTTGGGCTCTTTTATACAGGATCAATGCATCCTGAGAATGAAGTTTCTTGAGTTCTCTAAATGCTTTATTCCTGGCCTTTATGGCTTTACTACAGCTATCATTCCACCAGGGTGCACTCTTGGTCCGTTTAGTTCCTGTACTCTTAGGGATTGTTTCCTCGGCAGATTGAATAATCTCATTAACTATTTTAATATTGATTATGTTTACATTTGTCTGGTTCTCCTCTTTGAGTTTCCTGAATCTGTTTGTACTGATCTTTTGGAAAACATCCCAGTTTGCATTTCCCAATTTCCATCTGGGAATTTTCTTTCCCTTTTATAATAAAAACCTTCAATGCCAACTTTAGTTATTTATTTTTTTTTTTTTATTTTTATTTTTAAACCTGTCCTGCCCAGCAGCCTGGTATAGAGTATAATGACCTGGATACCATATTGTGCCAGACAGATTTTACTTTAACAAGAGAGTATTAAAATACTCCTTTGTCTGTTTTATTATTTATTTAATTATGTATTGATTTGTCACCGGGCCGGACAGGGGGGCAGACACGGGGATGGGGGGGCACAAACAGACAGCACAGAGAAAGGACAACACCTGCAAGAGAAGGGGGATGGAGGGTGGGGACAACAGGGAAAAGCTGTGGGAAACACCAATTGCAGAAAGCAACGAAACCTGCAAGAGAACAGAGGGGGGCTTGGGGAGGAGAAAACAACAACAACAAACAAACACAAACAAAAAAACAAGAAAAATAATAATAATAGTAAAAGACAACCAGCCGAACAGCAGCAATAAACAGCTGACATATTAAGACAACTAAGAGAACAATGAAAACAAGAAACAGTCACACACACTAAATAAGCAACACAGCACAGCCACGAGAGCTGGAATAATAATTAATTTAAATAAGTAACTGAAAGAAAGGCATCAGGAATAATTCTACCAGGGACAACCTAAATTTGTTTGTGTCTGTGTGTGTCTGTGTGTACATGTGTGTGCCCATAAGCCTGTTAAAGAATGTAGTTGTTAGAGAGAGTGGGACGCCACGACTGTAACAGGCAGGCAAGAACCCCAGTAGCCAATAGGGGTGGAAGAAAGAAAAGAATAAATCAAATCAAAAAACAAAACAAAGAAAGACTCCCAGATGCACCGCGATGCAAACGCAGAAGACCACGACCCAAATGCCAGTTGACAACGTAATGCCGACGGAACACAAAAGAGGAAGAGCAGCGCCCGGACCGACCACGGCGCGCACACAACATAGACCAGTGGCCCCCCCCCCCCCATCCAGCACCCCACCGCCGCGCAGCAAACAACCAAAATGCCCAAATGCCACGCAATCATCAACACCAATGCACAAGTGACGAGCCCAACGCGCACACTGCGCGAGCACGGCGACACCCATGCCCAGCAGCCCCCCGCGAATCCCGCGTGCGAGGTCGGGCAAATGAGAGAGAGCAAACAGAACACACGACAGCGAAAGCCAGCGGAGAGAAACACCAGCAGCAAGTCCCAGCCTGGCAGCAAACGCGCCGCACAGGTCACCGTGCACCCGCCAATAAAAGTCCACCGTCCCGGAAAAAACTAAGGCCGCCGGCGCCAGCCGACATCCCCCATGCCCAGCGCGCCCCCCGGCCGCCATGCAACACCAGCCAAACCAGCAACGAGGCAAAATCAACTAGCTCAGCTGCATGCAACCAACAACCCAAGGGCCGAGAACTCCAGGCACAAACCCAGAACAAACCGGAGCACAGCCCTGCCCCGCACCCACACTGCACATCCCGAAAACTAACTATATACCTCAGTATCCAGAGGGGTCCAACAACTGGCCGACAGAGAAATGGGCAAGCACGGATCCGAGGCCAACGACAATGCCAACTTTAGTTACCACAGGGTAGTGATCACTTCCTATTGTGGCATGTTTGATCACGCTCCATGTGCTTAAACCTGCTATTTCACTAGACACAAGTGTTAAATCAAGCGCTGCCTCTGTGTTTTGCACACTATTGTATCGTGTTCCTTCTCCATTATTAATACATACCAAACAGTGATTATCTATAAATTCTTCAACTGCTAAACCATTTAAATCTGTTTTATTGCTGCCCCATAGTGAATTATGTGAATTAAAATCCCCACACTGTATCACGTTATCTTGCAATAGTCCTCCAACATCCTCTAGTTATCTAGACTTATTTTCCCACAAGGATTATAGTAATTCATTTTGTCAATATTACCTCTATTAGTCCATACCTGAACCGCAATTGATTCATGATCTGTACATATACATATAACCTTATAACTCATTCCATTTTGTACGAAAGTGCCTCCACCTTTACCAGATTCTCTACCTCTCCTAACAGCAGTATATCCCTTTTTTTATAATGAAGTCCAACTGTGGCTTTAACCATGTCTCCTGTATACAAATTACATCAGGTTTCTCTTCCAACTTATCAATATACTTTTAAACTCTTGGCCATTTGAAATTAAGCTTCTTGCATTCCACAGGAGTAGAATTAGCACCATTAAGAGGATCCAACACATGTCTGAGATTATCTTCATTAAGAATGTCTTTAAGACAGTGCAGCCCCCTCACATCAAGGTACTTCTCAGCTGATTTGACAATTATTTTGATCCTTTCATTTCAGCTTTTTGTCTGTGCTGAACAGTTGACTGTATTCTTTATGGCAGATATAAAGTAATTCTTGTTCGCAATCAGTTTCCTCCTTCAACTTATCACATCCTCCACATGTCCCTCCATCTTTATTTCTAGTGTCATTTTGCCTTGTCACCTGCACGTCTCCTGAAACCTTCTTTGCTGCCTCTGCGTAGCTTATTCAGTACAGAGAAACTGTCACTTTTAATCCCATTTCTGCTTGCTTTAAGACGTCTGACTTCACTCACTTTAGCGTTTG